CTAGCAGTATGTCATAACTACCTAGTTGACAATGAATATATTTACATATATTATAATGAACATTTCCGTTACAAATATTATGCGGCATTCCTTCCACACAACACTTGTTCCGAACCAGGTAAAGGTCATGGTCAAACTTGGTCAAACCATAAACCTGGTCAATATGTCTATTCAATATTCATAACCTAACGTCCAACTTTATTATACTCTGGCTAGAAATTCTCATCAGATGATTATTGAATAGACAAACATCCTTGTCACCAAGGTGGTGGATCCTCTATTGAACGCACACATGTCTCCGTACAATACTAAACTAGGCCACCAAGTACACTTATAGTCCCATAAGGAACAAAAGACGCATACTGGCAAAAATTAGTACACTATATATACGAGACAACCATGTCGTCTCAAGTCAAATAACTATTGCATACTTGTAACATACAACATACAGATGACACGTAGGTAAACACCATTAAGGATGGCAACGGGGCGGGGCGGGGGCGGGGAGTATACTCCCCGTCTCCGTCCCCGCTACCCCGATCTCGTCCCCGTCCCCGTCCCCATCCCCTGCGGGATTGAAAAAATTCCACATTCCCATCCCCAAGGGCAGACCCAGTATGGGGGCAGTGGGGGCAGCTGCCCCCCCCCCCCCCCCCTCTCCCACCCTACCCCATATATAACCCTTGTATGTATATATGTATATATAGTTCAAGTTTTAGTATAAGTATAATAAAATAGATAAAAGTTAACAAAAGATGACTAGATCATGCAGAAGGCGCGCGTGTTATCTTTGTAAAAAGCCAGGCGTATTACTTAGGTGGCAAAGCGTGCATGTTTATATATTACTTCGTATTAATTAATTGTGAGATTTACACACACACACACACACACACACACACACACACACACACACACACACACACACACACACACACACACACACACACATATATATATATATATATATATATATATATATATATATATATATATATATATTTTTTATATTAATAATGAGATGTGTTTATAATGTATTTTTTATTCGAATTATTTTATCCAATTAATTATGCTTCATATTTTGTTATGAATATTTTTTATAAAGTTTTGATGTGTTTTATTTTTCGTCCACATCTAACAATATTTATGACTATATTTTTCAGTGTTTTATTTTTTATCAAACTATCTCTTTTGTTTTAATGTGTTTCGCCCCCGCTGAAAAAGTTCTCTGGGTCCGCCACTGCCGTCCCCGCGGAAAATTTGGCGGGGACAAGAAATCCCCATCCCCGATCAACCCCATAGTCAAACTGTCCAAAACTTGTACAATTTAAAAACAAAAATGACTGTATCACTAGCATACACCAAGAACAATTATATGAATGATTGAATCCATTCAATCCACCAACAAACAGTTATATAATTCATTTTCAAATCAACATTAATACACACAGTATAACAAACATACACCAACAACAATTATATGAATCCAGTCAATCCACTACCAAACTATTATATAATTCAAATTTTAAATGGATCCACAGTATGTTTTGAAAATGGAGAGGTTGCAAGAGGTGGAAATAAGGGAAGATTTTGAAAAGAATGGAAAAAGCAAAGGAGATGATGAAAGGGGAATCGGGTTGGGAGAGTTGGAGATGAACTATCGCTTACGTCGGGGTCATAAAGGCTCCCCGGGCCTAAAACACAGTACGTCGTGCCGTGGGAGTTGACCTTTGGCCTAAGGGTGGTTGGGGGAGGTAGCCATTGCTCCTGTCGGGACCTGAAAAGTCCCCCAGGGCAAAACATAGTACGTTATGCCAAGGGGGGTTGGTCTTGGGCACGAGGGTGGATGAGGTGGGTAATGTCGCTCAAGCCGGGACCCGTAAAAGTCTCCCCGGGTTAAAACACGGTACGCCGTGCTAGTGGGGATAGGACTTAGGTTTGAGGGTTGTAGGGGCAGTTTGGATCTTTGAGCTTAGGCATCGTTCCCATCACTTGTGTGGGACTGGGAGCCTACTTTTGACTATGATTGTGGATGGTTTGGAGAGGTTTGGGTTGCTAAGGCTAGAATCTAATGATCTCTTTTGTGAGCCTTTTTGGCCTTTTTCACGGCCGTGGGTAGTTGGCGGGTCCCCTACCCCCCACTGACTCTTTTTCACACACTTTACGCCCCGGGAACCGTTGTGGAACCCGAAACCATGCTTAGACACTTTACAACGCAATTAACGACAACACGTAGACAATTAACGAAACAAATACAAGAAACGAACGGCACATAATCTATCATGCTTTTCTAAATATAATCAACACCCAAACATGCGATTTCCCCACCCGATAATCCAAGAATAAGATCATACGATACAACCTAGGGTTCTAATCACTTTTATATCAACAAGAATACGGTTCGTCTTCTAATTGTAAGATTCGGTAAGAATAACACATAAACATCAAGAGCATCACACAATTATCAAGAACAACACATAATCATCAAGAACTCCATATAATCATCAAGAATCTCCCAATATCAAGATTATCAAGATCCCTCATGGGATCATCACGTCAAACATCAATAATCATCATCATATCTCGCCAATACACAATAATATGGGGGAAACCCTAAGGGGGAATCATAGCTATGAAAATAGGTTTTGTTGAGACATGGGTTACCTCTTAGCCTTAATTAATTCCTTGGCTATGAAGGATCTTTCTTTAAGCTTCCTTGCTTTCTTGATTTCTCCTAAGGGGATTCTTGGAGCTCTTTTGGGGTGGTGGGGCGTTAATCTTGTGGGGAGTTCTAGGTGCCTCTTAAGTCCCCTATTTATATATTTAGGAGTCCTAATTAAGAACTAATATTATAGGCTTGCTAATTCTATTCCTTTTGGAACTAAGGATTGGGGTTTAGGGGTTGGGTTTATATATGAGGGCCCATGGACTATGGTGGGCCTTTTTCCCTAATTAATCATTATAATTTATTCTTTCTCTTGGGCTATTGATTAATTAATTAAATGGTTTTAGGGGTCGTAACACGGGGTGTTACACCTCCGAATTTCTTCCCTTGAAATGATAGTTGCCCGGCGGATTTCATTTGGATCAAATTCTCCAATCGGCACATCCGATGCAGCTTCGACAATCACATTTTTCTTGGTTCTTTTCTTTCTTGCAAGCTTGGTCATGAAACAAGAATTAATAACCGAAAATCTTGTGGCTCGGGCAAGGTCTCGAGTACCTAGCCAACTCAAAACAAGTTCCTCTCTTTCCAAGGTATTTGGCCCAATTGTTTCGGCCAACTTGTTGTGATCGCCCAATCTCCAAGCTCTCCAAGCTTTGGCACGCTCAAACTCCTCCAATAATACACTGCCCGCCCCAATAGTTGGCACATCATCAATACTGCCAACCTCAACTCTATCACTCTCAACTGCATTAACCTCCAATCTATCAACTCTTTCAGCCGTCTCGGGACAGTTTAGGACAAAGGGGTTCGGATTTGGCAAGGTTACGGGTCGGGTGGTTATTGGGTGGCTAGATGTTTCTTCATTGGATCTTATTGCGGGGGTGTTGGATCCCTCATTGCTTGGTTCACGGATGAAGGGTCTTAGAGCTAGGGAAGGGTTTGAGGTTTTTCTTTTTCGGGTAGGCTTGGGTACGGTAGGAATTTTAGGTTCATTGGAACTTGGTCTAAAAAGGTAGTTGTGGTTGAGGATAAGTTTGGCTTTGGATAGTGTCACATTTTTTGTTCTTAAAATCTCCCCAATTGCAAAACCATATCCAATCTCTTGTTGGAACCAACCATCTACCAACGGTTTTGCCTTCTTCAAAGAATCACACAATCTTTCGAACATGAAAGCTCCCCAATCAACACACACATTATTCAAAATAATATCCATGATCAAAAGCTTCTCCCTAGACAATTTGTCACGGCAATAGTACCTAGACTCAACACATTTGTGTATAATATCCAATAGGAATCCATAGTCCTTTTTCAAGTCCCTTTTTATTGCCTTTAATCTTAGGAGCTAGCGGTGCGTTAGCATCGCGAACCTCGGCCCAAGTAGCATTGATGTCAAAAACATGAGTCTCTACCCGCAAAATTGACTCAACAAGATTAAATACCCTCCGAAAATTATCAACTTTTATTTCTATTTCAACTCCTTTCACGATAGAAATAATTGAATTATTTTCAACTCTAGCATGCAAATATAGCTCGGTCACCTCATCTTTGTAAAAACCAACATATCTAAAGGTGCAAAAATTTAACAACCCACAAGTTTCAAGAGAGTTGATAATTTTTACCCCTAATGTTTTGTCCTCCACTTGCTTGTTGAAATCGGTGATGTCGAGTATCATCCCACTAAGCACACGGCTTAATCTCCTTGTCCCTCCAGTGGTGATTGTCTCCACCTCCATTTGATCAACCTCCATTGATTAGAACTTGAGTTGGGGATTTTTGGTGAGGTATTGGGTATTTCGGCAGTAATGTCCGAAAAGGGTGAGGGGTTTGGGTATTTGGATTTAGAGAGTGTTTGGGTGAGATTTTAGGTTTGGGTGATGGGTATTTATGAGTAGAAGGATTTTGTGTACACTAGTACAGAATTGATTATTTGCTACTGTCGTAAATGACATTTAGCTACTGTTGTACAACAGTCGCGAATACTAGAGTCACAAAAAGCCTCGGACATTCCGCGACTGTTGTGGAATAGTCGCAGATTGATATTAATTCGCGACTATTCTTGATGTCAAACAGTCGCGGATTGTATTTTTATTTTCTTTATTGTGTGGTCATTTGCGACTGTTTTAAGATAGAAATAGTCGCGGATTGTTTTTAATAAAAAATATATACTGCGACTATTCTAGATGAAGAATAGTCGCGAATTAATTATTTTTCTTTTTTTAATTATTTAATTAATTTGTGTTAAATCCCCTAATTTTTTTTTTATAATTCTTATACTGTTACAGTTAGAGTCCTACACAACACAATTTATCTATCAATACACTACTTTATATCAACACACTTTAATATCATAGAAACACAAAACAATCATCAATACTTTAACAAAATGCACTTGAACACAATACTACTTTATATCCTCGATCACACTTTAGTATAATAATATCATTAAAACATGCACAACACTACTATCATCAAAGACTAATAGAAAAAAATTCAAGAATTACCATAGCTTCTATATCAGAAAAATAAGGGACATCATCATCACTTGGTGGTTCTTCTTGGTCTGATGTTGAAGGGTTGGCTGACGATTCTATAGCAGCTTTAGCAGAGCCTGATTCAGCAATTCGTGGCATGTCAGGAGATGTGTCTGGTGCATCTCCAACCTGTGCACAAGTACACAACACACAAGCAGGCTCTGGGATATTAGCATACGGCATAATCACAAATACAAAGAACTCAGTCTTTGGAATAAGTTCAGATGCTAACAAAATTATTTACCATTCCAGCTCTAGCAGCACCTCGCTCTTCCACAAACGTTTCATATTCATGAGTACATGCTCCACCTTCCTGAACGCGATTAGAAAAATCCATGAAAATAGTATTTTTATCAAATGACTTATCTACTATGTTCCTCACATCCTTGTCCACCATGGGAAAAATATTGACTCCAGAAACTCTTTAAAATGAAAAGAATAAACAGCATGGAAGAAAATCTCATGAGGCAAGAACTCAAGCAAGAAGGCTGTTGAGCTAATAAATAACAACCATTGTTTTCTCTGAGAATGGATTTCAATAATGAATTAATAAGAGACATTAATTATATAGGAAGAACTGAGAATGGATTTCAGTAATGAATTATCATTTACACGTCTTGTTACGATACCTTTACACATCTCAAAAATGAAAAGAGTCAAAAAGAATTACTACTCACAACAAAAGTCATTTCTACGTTCAACAGCAGGAACAGCTTATTGTTAGCACCATTAAAGTAAAAGAAAATATTCTGTAGGAAAAAAAATAAGACTAAGAAGAGAACCTGCAGTATCTTGTTTGTTTTTGAATCTGACATATCCTTTGATACATTGCTTGTATTTTCCTAGCCCTTCTCCTTCTTCCCATCCCTATCACATGCATTTGGACGTGTTAAGACATATTCATAATGGCAAACATATTTGCTAATAAGTTGTCACAGTTGTGTAAGTTCAAGCATGTAGATTTTGAGAGCAAAAGGAAATCATTGAAAATTCAATAAACAGAGAAGACCTAAGAGAGATTGATCATATGATTGATTTCCTCTAATGCATATAAATATAAACACACTACACATCTCAAAGGCCATTTTCTGACCGTGCTGACGGAAAAGCTTCTGTAACTTTTGTTTTCCTAAATGTACACAACTCAAAGACATAGTTGAGCAGATATGTGTCATTGCCATAGACCAGGATGTTGCTAAGCTCAACTCCGAGTAATTTCCTTGACACATGCATATCCAAAAGAAAGAAAAACAGAAACTAGCAAAGAAAAATGCTGATCAACTTACATGTATCCAAACAACTTAACTTTCTTTATACACAAAAATTGTAAAATATAGTGAAAAACTGGAATTAAACCAAAAAGTACGATCCTTTAGCTCCTTCAGTAGCATTCAGGATACCGAAATACAATAAGTGTTTATATTGAGTGGAGAAATAGGATTCATTTTGTTTGATAAGCAATTTCCGACTAACTAATCCAATTTTTTGCTTGATACTCTTTATTACACATACCCTAAACTCCACTTTATGATTTCATGGTTTGAAAGACCAATTTAGTTGAAAGCACATTCGTGCAAGACCCCAGTTCTCCTTGTTTCTAGTGCTTTAACCATCTTTCTATTGGACTTAGTTTGAATTGTGAACTAAAAATAAAAATAAGGGAATGAAGAAAGCAAGGGAACTAAAAATAAAAATAACCTCAATATAGAAGAAAGCAAGGGAAACGAAGCTGAAATAAAAATTAAAAAAAAAAATAAAAGAAACAAAAAAAAAAAAAAAAAAAAAAAAAAAAAGCAAGGGAACGAACCTGCAGTGGTGGCTGGGCGGTAGCTGTTCTGTGGTAGGGGCAGTGACGGTGGAGACGAAGCTCAACTGTTAGCGAATAGGGGGCAGGAACCAAACTGACGAAGCGTTCAGGAGCGTCGGGGGTGGCTGTAATGGAAGAAAGCAATAGAATGAAAGGAAGTACTAGTGTAACCCTTCTTTCCTGGCAAGCAACTTTGTAGTTTCTATGGCTTCATCACTTGAAATCTGATTTATTATACAATATCACAATTCAAAAAGCACTATCTTTCACAACGGCCAACTTGCAGAATTAAATAATGAAAAAAAAAAAGATTAAACACACATCAAGAATGGCCACAAACCTGGATTTCTTTGAACTGATCAAACCAATTAGCAAGACCCAAATCATCAGCCTCAGCATTCTCAAAATCTACAGAAGAAAAACCCATAAACAATTCAGCAAACCATACATAAAAACATTTTTTTAAAAAATCCCCAACTTTAAAAATGATTCTACAATTGTGATACATTAGCAAGTAAACTCACTCCAAAACTTTATTCATTATATTGTAAGTTGAGACATGCAATATCTATCTATCAATTCATTCTTAACCTTCCTGATTGTAGCATGACCAACACTGTCCCATATCATCCATTTCGAATTTATGGTTCAAAAACTAAATTTCCCAAAAAAATTTACACCATCACTTCAGTTCATAGCAGTCTGGTTACAAACATATTACAAATTAAAGCTAAGCTCAAAGCTTCCGCATTAGAAGATTAATTGCGCGAGCCAATCAGATTCTCAGCAGCAAGAAACTAAAATTAAATGCAAACAACAATCATTGCCGGAGCTTGATTACAGACACAATTCAGAGGATAATAGGAAGTACATTACCCATCTAAAAACTTAAGCAAGTTCAAGGAGCATACCTCTTCGCGGATCATTTGCAAAACGGGAGCACTCCTCCATGCAATTCCTCCACCCTAGTTTATAGAGGGGAAAGAGTTAGAACAGTTAAAAAGGATTGTCTAACAAAGGTTAGACAAAAATAAGGCACACTAGATTCATCATTATACTTTGGTAGAACTACTTTGTTCTTATATATTTTAGAGGTTCTATGGTCAATGGTTTTCTGCAAAAGTTAGACACTAATTCTTATCACTTCATAAAATGAAAGAAGGGAGAAAGGAACTGGTATTATGACCTGATACATACCATAGTGTCTCAATATTTTGAAGTTCCTTTATGTGCAATAGTTGTTAGCCTGTTACAAGCCCTATGATTGCACTGGTTGTTTATAGATCAATCCTGATAGAAACTTCTTTCCTCCATACTAGAGTAATATACAGACATTATATGTGGTATATTATAATAGCAAATTATTAAATTGCTATTGAATTTCATAAATTACTAATCTATAGAAAAATGGTTGACGTTGTCGATTTACCTGTTTAAGGATTCGAGTATCACACTTTTCCCTTAACATTTGAGCATCTGAGTAGGTCACACACGGTACTGGTTTAAGCTCTGCATACTGCAAAATAGTAATGTGGCTAAAAATGATGAATAAGACAATTTTATTCCTTGCTAATCCAGATCAACTAAGAAAAAAAATAATGATGAGTCCCATAAATCAGTAAAAACCTGAATCTCATGCATGTCAATCAAGCATTAACAAAGACATATTGTGAAATTAGATGTGCTAATGCCATAAAAAAAAAATAAAGACATTAATATATCTTCCAATTCTTAAAGGTTGCTTGTATGCCCCATGAAAGTTCATGTAAAGGTTGTGGATAGCAGCTCTGCAACAGCTTCATGCATGTAAACATAATCTTAGATGACATGTCCAAATGCAGATTTAAGATGGCACAATTTGAGCCATATCGATCCAATTCAAGCCACCCCAAGCCCTTATTCAGTTATTCCTAATACCTATCAAGTAATACACAACAAATAATAGCTTTAGAAAAAAAAAAAAAAAAAAAAAAAAACGTAGATTGGAAATTAATTTTAAACAAGAAGAGCAAGAAGAAAATCACTCTTTGCGCATCTGGAAGCCCCCAAAACCCCAAGAATCGCTTTCGTCTCTTCCGCATAAGGTCAATCACGCGGTGGTGGCGGTGGTTGCGTCGAGGTAATCGCGGTGTGGTGTGTCGTCGTCGGCAGATCGTCGTCGCTGTGTTGTTAGTCTAGATCTGAGAGTGCGGCCGTAGGTTGTGATTTGTTTACATCTCAGATCTCCGGATCGACACGAACGACGAAGCAATAGCGGCGGGTGTGGCGGTGGAGGTGGTGGTTGCGGTTCGCGGTGGGGGCGGGGAGTGAGAAGGGAGAGTGTGGTCGTCTTAGGGGAGGAGGTAGAGCGAGAGAGGAGCTGAGATAGAGTGAGAGTGGAGGCTGGATCTGAGTATCTGACCTAGGGTTGTTTTAGATTTCTTTTCAATTTTTTTTTAAATACATTCCGCCACTGTTTCGACACGAAACAGTGGCGGTATTATTTATATTTTTTTAATCCGCATCCGTTACACCTAAAAACAGTAGCAGATTATCTATGCATTATTATGAAATTGCCATCGCAAATTTTTGAATTAAGAATATACTACTGTTCTTTTAACAACAGTAGCTAAATGTGAGTCTCCTATGTTCTATTTTGTACTAGTGGTACAAGATTTTGGATGGGTGAGGAAGTAATGGAAAAAGTGGACTCTTCCTTGTTCAAGAATTCCGGCCGGCGAGAGTGGAGAAGAAGAAGTTATTTCCCTTTTTGGGTTTCTCCACTCTACCCGTTAGAATTGAGGGAAAAACATTGTGAAATTACTTCTTTGTCCTCTAGTGGATGGAGAGAGAGTATTGATCTCTTTGAAGATAAATTCGACCTTCCACATGATTTAAATTTGCCAGCTCAGATTTAAATACTCCATTTGTGGGTACATGGCGCCAAAAATTGTGCTACAAATAACCGCCAACCTGGAGCAAATCAGATAAAAAAAATCTTGAAAATAATCTGTTAGAGCAATAAATATATTCCAGATAAATATTATCATCTCGATTTCATATTTCAATAAAGCTGATATATTTTCTGAAAAGTCTAATAAAATTTTTGGACAGACAGATGTATACCTAATTTTTTGAAAAAGTTTTTCAAGTTCCAAAACAAAATAAATGATTTTGACTTTCCACAACTCTGAGTATTACCTTTTTGACTTTAGAAAGAATTTTGAGCAAATATGCATGCAGGTAATTCGAGAGTTTTCCTTAATATATGCTTACCCAAAATGATCCTTCCAAGTTCCTCCTTAATATTTGCTTATCAAAAATTTAACCCAACCAGAAAATTTATTCCCCCTTAATTGCATACTTTAGTCTTAAATTAATTAAACCAATTTAAAGCATACTTTATAAATAAATCACACAAATTAATTATGCTAAAACGTGACAAATATATAGATACACATTTCACATAATTAAATTATAAACACATGTACGCAAATTTCGTAAGATAAAATAACACATTTAGACACATATAAATTTTACGAAAACATGTACATAACTAAATACATATCACATGAACACACAAAAATAACATATCCTCCAAAATAAACATGTAGGTCACATGAATAATATGCACAGTGCGAATCATATTAAGAGTTTAGAAACGCTTAGCTCATTTCGATCATTCCCATTTCATGCCTTAGAGTTGCAAAACGAGAATCACACAACGGTTTTGTGAGAATGTCGGCAATTTGATTCTCCGTGGGAACATGATCGATTTTCAAATCTTTCTTTTCAACGTGGTCTCGGATAAAATGGTGTCGAACGTCGATATGCTTGGTTCGCGAATGAAGCACCGGATTTTGGGTTATGGCGATTGCACTAGTATTATCGCATAAAATGCTGACATTTTCGCACTTAATCCCATAGTCCAATAATTGTTGCTTCATCCACAAGATTTGTGCACAACAACTCCCAGCTGCAATATATTCGGCTTCGGCAGTGCTCGTAGCTATGGAGTTTTGCTTTTTGCTGAACCAAGAAACCAATCTTCCCCCTAAGAACTGGCATGTCCCTGAGGTACTTTTTCGGTCTATTTTACAACCTGCAAAATCTGCATCTGAATAACCAGTTAGTGTAAAATCTCCTTCTTTGGGATACCATAATCTCACATTGATTGTTCCTTTGAGATATCGAATTATCTTCTTGGTTGCAATCAAATGACTTTCTTTGGGCTTAGATTGGAATCTTGCGCATACGCCAACCAAGTAGGATATGTCCGGTCTGCTTGCGGTTAAGTATAGCAGCGATCCAATCATCCCTCGATACATCGTTTGCTCGACATCTTTTCCTTCATCATCTTTATCCAATTTTTGAGATGTACTCATGGGGATTTTGACTGGGGATTTTCCATCTACGCCAAATTTCTTGATAAGATCTCTTGTGTACTTGGCTTGATTTATGAAAATTCCTTCTTCAAGTAGCTTGACTTGCAGTCCCAAAAAGTAATTTAATTCTCCCATCATACTTATCTCGAACTTGTTCTGCATGAGCTTAGAAAATTTCTCACATAAAGATTTATCAGTACTTCCAAAGATAATATCATCAACATAAATTTGTACTAATAAAATGTGATTATTTTCTTGAATTCTAAAGAGGGTTTTATCGACTAGACCTTTGGTGAATCCACAACTAATTAAGAACATTGACAAGGTGTTGTACCAAGCTCGCGGAGCTTGTTTTAACCCATACAATGCCTTCTTTAATTTGTAGACTTGATCACCAACGTCTTTTACCTCAAAACTGAGTGGTTGTTTGACGTAAACTTCTTCTTCAAGTAAGCCATTAAGAAATGCGCTCTTTACGTCCATTTGATATACGATGAAATTCTTGTGCGCTGCATATGCTAGGAATATCTGGATTGCTTCGAGCCGTGCAACGGGGGCGAATGTCTCATCAAAATCAATGCCTTCTTCTTGTGAGTACCCCTTCGCAACTAATCTTGCTTTATTCTTAACAATGACGCCGTCTTCGTTTGCTTTGTTCTTAAAGACCCATTTAGTGCCAATTACATTTTGGTGCGTTGGTCTTGGAACAAGTTTCCATACATCGTTGCGCTTGAATTGATCTAATTCCTCTTGCATTGCATCTATCCAACTTGGATCGGCTAAAGCTTCGTCAATTTCTTTTGGCTCCAGTTGTGATAGAAAGCATGAAAACATTGCATCCCTTGTCACTTGTTCGTCCCTTGTAGATGATCGTGTTCTTACTCCGTCTCTCGGATTTCCAATGACTAAGTCATGTGTGTGACTTCTTAGCCATTTTCGATTTGGTTGGAAACTTATTGGATTCTCAGAGTTTCCTTCCTGTTGAAATACCACTTGTTGAGTTGTCTCTTGTTGTGAATTGTTGACGGGTGCTTCTTCGGGTTCATCTACTGGGATTTCTTCTGTTGGAATTCCGGGTGCAATTTCGGTTGTAGGTGTGAGTGATATTTCGGGTGTCACATTGGGTATTGTCTCAATTTGGTGAGTGCCCATATCACTTGAATCTTCTACCTCCTGTAACACATTATCTTCGAAAGAATCATTAGAATTATTTAAATCACGATTACCTCCATTATCTTTGTCATTTTTGTCGTCATTTTAGTCAAACACAACATGAATTGATTCTTCTACCACCATGGTTGATTTGTTGAATATTCTATACGCCTTGCTGGTGGATGAATATCCTAAGAAAGTTCCTTCGTCTACTCGCTCGTCAAAAGTCTTTAATTGAGACTTTCCATTAACAAGTACAAAACATTTACAACCAAATGTATGAAAATAGGTGAGATTGGGTTTTCTCCCTTTCCATAATTCATATGGTGTTTTGTTATAGGACTTGTGGATTAGACTGCGATTTTGAGTATAGCACGCCGTGTTGATTGCTTCTGCCCAAAATCTCTTTGGTAGTCCGGCGGCTGTTATCATGACTCGTGCGGCTTCCTTGAGTGTTCGATTTCTTCTTTCAGCTACACCATTTTGTTGCGGCGTTCGTGTGGCAGATAATTGATGTAATATTCCTTGTGAGTTGCAGTACGATTGAATCACTCCGTTCACGAACTCTGTTCCTTGATCGGTTCGTATTGTTGATGGTTTTGAAATTCAAATGATTTAGCCTTATGTGCCATTCCCAACTAGCTTCATTCGAATTGTTTGCCATCAAGCATACAGAATCCTTTGTTGTACTACAATCTACAACATACATATTTTTCTTTCTTGATCTGGCGAGTACGACTTCATTCGAAGATTCGTCCTTGACTTGACATTTGCCTTTGTAAAATTCTACGAGATATTCTTTGTCGCAAAATTGACTTGTACTAAACAAGTTGAATTTTAATCTATCGACATAAGATACATCATCAATTCGTAGACCATTTTTCACAATTGCGCCTGTTCCTTTTGTCATTCCATATCGATCGTTTCCACCGAACACTACTTTTGGTCCTTTGATACTTTTGAACTCAACTAGACTAGCTTTATTGCCGATCATGTGTCGAGAGCATCCGCTATCGAAATACCAAACTTCCTGCAAAAAAGATTAATTACTTTTAGGTACCCATACTTGTTTGGGTCCTTTTGTGTTAGTAATTTTTGGCATCCAAATCCACCTAGATCCCACTGATCCAAGAGTATGTGATTTGTAACCATTAAAGACTCTATAATCATAATACACTTGCGAATAATGCTTTGGTGCGGGCTGGGAAGCAGATAGTTGCTTGATCCTATGAAAAAGAGCAAATCTGGACTTGGTCCATGGTTTGTCTTCAAGCGACCAATCTTGTTCTGAGGGATATAATCTCCCAGCCCCAATTCTCGGAATTCTTCCCATATTCCTATGAGGTTTTATTGCACTAGACTCGTTGGCTCTCTTTTGAGATACAAATTTTTGCCTTTTAAAATTTTGTTGCCTATCCGAGATATTGATTTTTGGATTCGGCCTTGCAACATTTTTATTGGCATTTATTTGATTACCAACTCCTTGTCTCATTGTGCTATACTGACTTTTCACAAATTTTACCACTGGAACTTTATTAATTAAAGTAGTAGTAGAATTAGTCAGTTTCACAGGGGTTTGAGAACATGATGGATCGTAGCCTAGTCCAGCTTTATATCCAGCGGGTTTTTGCATGTTTACAATTTTATCCATTATTTTGGATGAATGCGTAAATGATGCAATTACTTCCCGAAGGTTATGTTTTCGAACCTCTCAAGCTTTACACTCTTCTTGAAGTCGAACATTTTCGGCTTTCAAGTTACTCATTTCATTTAGAGCATTTTGTAATTTTTGTGCCATTTCTTCCTTTTCAAGGATTAACGTATTATTGCGCTCTTTGATTTGAGTATGAGTGGCCATGACCTTTTGACAATCTTTCATAAGATTTTGAAATGATTCTTGAG